AAAAGTTGAGTTTAAACCAAAATAATTTAATAAATAACGTTATTGTGTCAATAATTCTCAATGCTGATATTTGTGTAAGTGTGTCAGCTCATAATTTAAAAATTGACATCTGTCACTTTTCCGCACTAGTGCAGAAAAGTGAAACTTTCCAAACTAAAATGCGTGCGGAAAAGTACACTTTTCCGCACACTCGTAGAAAAAAAAAAGTTCGCCTCCGGCGGGCTGGCTTGGGCTGATTACCCCCCCCAGACGTATGGGCTGGATACGCCGGTGATAGGTATGCAAAAAAGTGTAGAACAACGCGTTTTTTACTAGTAATGCTTTTGCTTTTCTGTCCCAAATAGTATACAAAATTTAAACTGATGCAATACAATTTCTGTAGGTATATTAGTTTTTTTTTCTCTCAGTGCAAATGCGAGGTCTGGCGTCCTAGACTTTTATTTTATTTCACCATTTTTGAGCTTTTTTGTCTCTGAGGAAGAGGATCTATATATCCTCGAAATATGTAGGGTATAATATATAATGTGGAGGAAGACTTCGTGCCTTTTCTTACCTTTGAATTAAATTTAAACTGCACTTAGAGATGGACTACCTCTTCAATTTAATACCCACTATGTTACTTACTCATCATCAACATCCATATGTGTTTCCCTTATAGAAGTAAAAGTATTAGACGATTGTGGTACACACGTTGCTTCCACATTCATTCTCAGATGAAAGAGACATCACATCAATTCGTGCTGAATCTTGTGTTGAAACATCGCATGAACTTGAAGAAAAAACTTTTCATTGCAAATTAAACAAAGAATGCAACACTACTGTTCTGTGCAGTGATAATGCAAGTTAAAAAAAAAGCACAAGTAGGTATAACTTTTTATTACGCGGCGAAATCAAAATGGCCCACTCCCCACACCCTGTATGATGTTTTTATAGAATCCTGATATATGTAAAAAATAATAGTCATTTATGTATCAAGGGTACTAAGTAGATGATTATGCCCTGAGGGCGACAGTCTTACAAAGCCGAGGGCCTCTGGCCCGAGGGTTCGTAAGTCGCCCGAGGGTATATTATCTATTAGTACCCGTGGTGCATACAAACTTTTATGTCATACCAGTTGGTTGTGAATAATAAATACCTAGGAAAAAGTGTCACTTCGCAAATTGTCATCAGTGTGCAAACATCATAATTTTTTGACAAAAATAATATGTTTATAAGCGTAAATTTATATTTTGTTAATAAAGAATAAGTTAATTGAAAACTGTTTTTTGCGTCTTTATGCCCGCGCGGGCCATAATGTGTACTTTATGCCCGCGCGGGCCATAATGTGTACTTTATGCCCGCACGGGCATAAAGTAATGAATTATGTAGATGGTATCCAAGGTATAAAAACACAATAATGTATTGGTATGACATAAAATAAAATATAGGTACGTGTTCAACTGTTTTTTCAAAAAACTGACCGTTTTTTGACAATAAAATAATAGACCCGACTTTTTCAAACACCCTGAATGAAAGCAAAAAACATCCCAAAATATGTAAAATCGTGTTTAACTGTTTTTCCCAAAAACGGCTTTTTATAAGTATCTATACATGGAAAATGTTATTCTGAATTTATCGAATTTACCTTTTATTCACGAAATACCTTTTTTTCACATTGAATTGTTTAGCAGGATGAATGATAACCAATTATCTAGTTCATCATCGGAAGTATCTGGTAATATCACATCACTATATTTGAGGCTGTGAAACTGTCTTGATTTTAAAAATAATTTACAATAAGAAAATATTTCTGGTGTAAATTTTTTCACTTCTTCTGTTTTTTGTTCAAAATGAGGTCTACCTTTTAATGAATTACACGAAAAACAATTAATTTTTAAAAAAATCTAAATACTGTGTAGATTAGACAAATTATGTCACCGAAAATAGATATTTATTTATTCATACGGCTGGTTCAGATAAAGTGTAGCAAATACTTTTACTCTGCCTTTGTCTCTTTTTGCTGCAATAAAGCTGAATATGTTTGTCTCAAAAAACGTAAGCAAAAGCATTTGCTTCTGTTTTATTCATATGATCTAGTAGTGTCGTATATAACGTATACACTCCAAGCACAAGAATAAACCAGAATGAACAAGAACCTCAATACCACCAGTGCAGTAGGCGTAGGTCGGAATGTAGCGGCTTTTTTGAGATTGGTTTCGTATTGACTGTGACTGATTCGATTTTGTTGTATTTTGAAATTATAGTCTTTTCGCAAATAGCTATTTATACAATAAATTACGAAATGAGCGTCTTTTAGGCACGCGACGTGAAAATTGTCCAACGAGGCAAAGCCGAGTTGGACAACACGTCGAGTGACTAAAAGACATCGTTTCGTAACGTATTGTATACAAGATTTTTTCTACTGGCATTTTATAATAAAAAAACACAATTTTATTTCATGTGAATAAGTCGATTACACCCAAAATCTTTGTTACCTGCTTTTACTTGACACCTGACACTTTTCATGCGATTTTCTTTTCAAAATTCGACATCAATAATTAAAATCCTAGAAAGTAGGTAATAACACAAACTTCTGTTTTGAGTAACCCAAACGTTCAATTCAGTAATTCCATTTTCAATATTCATAATAAATGCAAAACAAAATTCAAATCTGTGTTCAGTGTGTTTTTTATTTCTGAATAATGGATGACACTTTTAGGCACTAGTGCTTAAAAATTACTTTTACGCACTCATAAGTCACTTTTACGCATTCAAAAGTCACTTTTACGCACTGAGTGCCTAAAAGTAACTTTCACGCACTCAGTGCCTAAAAGAATGTCGTTTCAAAACTGAAATGACAATCGAAAAGTTGCTATTATGAAACGTCAGTAGAAAAATAATTTTTTGTTGTTGTTTAAATCAAAAACATAATGATGTAATGTTTCCTACTCCATAAGAATCATTACAACAGGAGATGATTGGAGGGCACCTCGACGTCAGGTACACCGTACACCGACTAAATTCAAAAAAACTGTATGCTTCTTTTTTACGCATAAGCGGTAATGTTTTACTGTCGGACAACTTAGTCATTATGTTCTATAGTTCTTTTCAATACAATAAATCGAAAGAAGAAATTGTTATTCGTGAATTTTTTGGCTTCGTGAAACCGATGATTTTCCCGCATCGGACTGGAAAATCGGAAAATGTAATATGTCGGACAATTGGATATTTATATTCCTCATATTTTTATTAGGTAATTCTGAAAAAATCAGCTCGTTATCCAAAAATTTTTTTAACTTGTCAATTGGATATGTTTGAGTTGGTAGACACCCTTAACGCTCCAACATTTTTGTCGGACACATTTTTTTTCGCGTTTTTCATGAATTTGTCTCGCGATTTCACTAAAAATAAAAACGATATCTATAAATTTTTTGCACCACGCGAAATGGTCGGCTTTCGGAAAAACTAGAAAAGAAAAGCCCCCACTACGAAAGTTTTCATAAAGGAAAAAGATGGTAGACTAGGCGCAATTAAGCCACATAAAACATTCCAAGGCAGTATTCATAAATGCAACTTTATGTCGCTGGGCACCTACACTATAAGGTTATATTTGGGAAAATATATATCTATATTTTTATATAACCTGAGCGAGTTTCTCTCCATCAACCCCCAAAGCTACAAACCCCCCATGTCACCCCCGTAAAGCGGGTAGTTGTGACAATACCATTGTAAATAGATCTATTTATACCTGGTGTACAGTGAGCAGTGGAAATAATCAAAAATGTGTGATAATTTTGAGTGTAATTATTGTGATTGGCATATACTTAAAGGTAAGAATTTAATTAATATTATAAGCCTGAAGGGTTAAAAAATAATAATAATAATAATAATCTTTTAGCAAAATAGGACAAAAGGTCCGCTGGTTTTATAATCCAGAAATACCCTAAAGCTGTTGGTAATTAAATGAGGCTTCAGCTCTCAATGAGATAGATAACCACTGTCAGATGATTAATTTAGAGACTTGAATGGTTCCCAAAGACAGCACAACAATACTCAAACCTTATTATTATATACTGGGTGGGCCTAGTAGGTTCTTAGAAGTGTGAGAGAACAACAAAGTCCTCAAAGTTCTTCGGGCGATTCACCGGGTCCAGGACTACTTGTCGGAGAAATATCCATGCAATCTCTAAGTTAATTCAAGGCCTCTGTAAATGCTTAGCTTCAAGATAGGGTTGGATGTCACTTGATTGGTAGGGTGTAGATATACAGACAAAAAGGGGGACCATAACGTAAAAAAAGGCCCGAAACAATGAAAATTGCGTCAGGATTCTGAAGAATGAGGTATGTACGATTTATTTAAATATTTTCAGCAGTAAAGCCTCAATTTAGTATTCAAAAGTAAGAAAATAAGGAACTTACCAATGGAAATTGGCCTTTTTTTCACAAACTTAAAAACGTGGAACCAAAGTTTTAGGTTCTTCAGCCGTAATTCGCCACTAAATCAGCAAAATAGTGCTTTGGTGCTATAAAATAGCTAATAGCCACCTTTTAACGAATTATTTGGGCAAACCTTTCGAAAATCGGCAATTAAAAAGCCACGAGAAAAGCAAAGCTGCTTCTTCTCTCACGAAAAATGTGGTTCTGTCACGAAATTCGGTTTTTTTGGTATCTTCGCGCGGGAATTTTGGTTCTGGGGAAAAAGTTGTGAATTTTCGATTTTTAGGGTTTATAGCTTCAAATTTTCGAGCCAAAAATCAATGCGACATCTATAAAACCAAAAAGGAAACGAGTTCAAAATTATTGTTGAATAAATCTTTCTTGACAATTTGACGTTCTTGATAATTTTCAATAATTTAAATTCCTTATTTTCAGATAAATGAGTTGAAATGACTGATGTTAGAGATATAATTGTCCTAATTAATGAAGCACTGAACAAGGTAAGTATTTATTTAACATTCAAAACAAAGGTACTTAACAGTTAATTTAATTTCAACAGGGTTCCAGGTCCATGAGAGAAGATGTTCGGAGGTTCTTTGGTTTTTTTAATTATTTTGTAACGACCTCTATTATTGTCACCCGTAACATACCTATTAAAATAATTGCAAAAAAGGTTGAGAAGTAGTCTAGAATCTTAATCGTTTTTTTTTGCTCCTCAATTTGTTAAAAAATCACAGTGCTTGCAAAAAATACTTGAAAAATGGCTCGTGAAAATGAACAGATTGTAAAATTTGCACTCTGAAATCGTTACACAATGGTGAAAGCAATTTTTTTTTGTTGAAAAAAACAGAAAATAAAAATAATCTCTTGGAAACACAAACTATAAAATAGAAAACAGCAACTGAACTTGCTGAGATCGATGCAAGTTTTAAAGAAAATGTTGACAATATGGAAAGGACTGAAAGGACTCACTTTTATTTATGCTGCATCAGAAAAACCATCATCCGGTTGGAAGGATCAAATCTTGCTATGGATGAGTTGAAAAATTGTGAATGGTTGTAGTATTGAAACTCAATGGAGTGGACTGTATTTATTTTTTAAATTTTATCATGTTATTATTTGGTGTACAATAATGATTTAAATCATAAAGAGTTTTTACAACATAAACGTGTTTTGTGAGGAACAATAAATTTAATACATAGCGTATCACAAAAATGGCTGCTATTAATTGTTTCTTTTTTCGTATGTCGACGACAACGAGACGAGGCCTTTTCCACCTCTCTTCCTTGTGGTCAATAAATGCGCACACTTGTCGTTGACGCAGGGTTGTGTCTTTTGAAGAAGCGCATGGAAGTATTTTTATCTTCGAATAATAACCTAGCCTTGAAATCTCCTGTGCGCATGCTTGGATTGCATAAATTTCTGCCTGGTAAACTGTGGCGTTAAGCCCTAAAGGAAAACTAATATTACCATAGTATTTATTCATAAAATACATGCCAAATATGCAGTATTTATGACAAGATTTATGGAATTTTGAGAAGTGAGGGAATACTGATAGTAAGATGTCGTCAAACCGAAATTTGGTTTCCTGTTTCGTAATAATTGGTAATTGATTTGTATTATGCGTGACAATAATTATTGTAAAATGGACAAAAAGCTCAAACAGAAGAAAAAATATATCTAAGTTATCTATTTTAGAATTTAATTTTTTTAAATTTCCAATTAACCAATAAAGTGCTATTTATAGAACAGTTTTGCGTCAATAAAGTAGCACTTTGTTTAACTGTAAAATAAAGTGCTACTTTATTATCCTGACAACCTGACAACCTGCCAAAGTGAAACAGGTATACTCGAATTTTAATTTTCTCATTCATTTTTTTCAGTTTTTAATAAAAACCAGTGGCAATCGTTCATAAAATCATGTATATAACGCTTACATAAACAGGGGCTTTATTGCCTCATTATTTAAAATTATTCGTACAATGAAGCCTCATTTTATGTACTTCTTATATAAATGGCTATTATTTAATTGTAAATTTTCTCTAAAACAAGAAAATGATAGGTTATTGACGCCGTAACACCTGGAAAGTTACTTGTTAAAATATGAGCCTGAAAACGTTGTGCCATTCACCTAAGGTTCGTTTCACCAGGGTTCATACTTGACCTTGAAACTTGAAAAAAAAGGATTGTCGTAGATTAATTCATATGACACATTCAATTTTTTTGACAAATTAAAATGAATGACGTCTGGTTAAGAACCGACGAACGTTTTTGACGTCATTGATTTGTTTCAGTCAATTTTTATTTGTTAAACAAGGAAGGCAAATGCTGGTGGCAAGTACAAACCCTGGCGAAACAAACTTTAGTTTCAGGTGGAGTTCTGAAATAAGTCATATAACATCAACAATGAACAATAAAATTAACAATATGCCTGATTTTGAAAACCAATTTTTTGACTGCTGTGCAATTCTACATTATTTTTATTAACACTGGGTAACTCTTCTCCCTTCAAAATATACTGTATTTCCTCTAAAGTCTTGCCTTTAGTTTCCGGAATAAACGTCAGCGAGAATACAGCTGTTGCTAATGTAGCAACAGCAAATATGTAAAACGGTACATCAATACCGTATATTCTAGCCAAATTCTGATATAACTGAATCGATGCTAATCCCGCCATTAGATAAATTAAATCAGCCAAAGCCATTCCCATAGCTTTGACTTTAGCTGGAAATAATTCGGCTGTCATAACGATCGGAATCATTCCGAGGCCGCTTTTGAAAACCGCTGCGTACACCAAAATAGCTGTTATAGGTATCCAAGCCACTTCCGGTCCTGCATAGCCATGTTTTTGTAAAGTGAAAAAAATTGCTATGGCCAATAAGGACAATCCAGTGAAAAAACTGGAGAAGGCCAATAAAATTCTTCGTCCAAGTAAGTCTATAGTAAAAACGGTGATAGTACCAGCTAATAACATTACGCTGGAAAATAGTATTCCGGCTACATTGGAGCTGACGTATACCGGTCCAGCTGCTGTTAAAATTGAGTGCAGATTCATCAAAATCACAGTCATGCCGCTAAAATGTTGAGCGATATTCAGTACTGTCATGATTATTACTGCTTTTCGGTTGCTTTTTGATAGGAAGAGATCTTGAGGACCACCTAAAAGATTATGGAAAATAAATAAAAATTTTATGAGCAAAAAGAAATCCATAAGTCTATCGTAACAGAAAACAAAATTATCTAGAGGACATATCTTATAAGTAGATACATAGAAAATATGCTCTCGATATACGTTTCGTATTTGAATGGATTAAATGCTATTATTTTCCTTGAAAATCTTCAATCTTTAAAATTGTCAATACGTGCCTTTCTCGGTCCTTTGGCGCTCGACGGCTACGGCTATGGCATCAAGTTCTTTATCAACATTTTCGTATCCTCTTAATTTTTGCAAATGTCGACGAGCCTTTTCATAATTTCCTTTAGCCAGCAAGAAATAGGGCGAATCAGGCATAAAGGGCACGCCAATAAGCTGAATTCCGACAATAATCCCACCTGGAAATTATTCGCTAATAATTACAAATTCCATCACTAGCTTACTCACATTTGCGGCTAAATTGCAATACAAATCCACAACTAAGAGTTTGTCGGTTTACCTATAATAGAACAGACATAAAATGGAACAAACGGTGCCACCCCATAAAGTATTAAAAATCCTCCCAACATCATAAGAAAAATAACTCCAGCAAGAAATCCTCTTATTTTTTGATCAGCTATTTCCGCTACATACATTGGCCCAGCTACAAAAGCCACATCCGCTGCTAAGCCAGTTAAAAACCTAGCTACATACAAATAGTTGACATTATCCGCTATTCCTATGAGAACCTAAAAAATCAAGAGTTCTTATTTTTGTTAAAAAATCCTCAACCTTGTACAAACCCAAGCCGTAAAACTGGACGAGGAAGCAAACAGGACAGTTTTCTGTCTGCCGATTTTATCGACCATGTATATGGTGATTGGCAGTCCTGCTAGTCCTCCAATCATATAGACGGACTCCAGCCAGTTGATGTCCGAGTCCGTTATTCTAATTGGACTATCCTCCGATTGCAATATAGGAAGGAACGGTGCCGACCAGCCGAACTGCATCCCATCGGAAATCGCTCCGACTGTGGCTGCAAAGCAAAAATAATGAGACCGGATTTTCGACTTTCCGAGTTTTATTGATAGAGATAAAAAAAGGAGAACGACAGACCTGAAAAACTTGGGGTTTTAGATTTATCCCTGAGGATGCAATGGAGGCGATTCTAATTCAGCTGATGAGATAAAAACCGCACTCTAAATAATTAGTTTTTGTTGCCCATGAACTTTTGAACGTTTGACGACCGGAAACTAATCGCAATTTAAGGACTGGCAAATAAATAATAAATTACATAATTAGTCTAGTAGATATTTTAAATCCCATAATGTTACTTTGTTATTATTATCTTTGTAGTTATATTGCGCAGTATTCTTTATACAACAAAAATTGTCGAATCTAAAGAAGTCAACAGGCTAATCGATAGCATCACAAAAGGTAGTCAAAAAGAACCTGAGAGTAAGTCCTATCATTTTAATAAAAGAAGTTAATCCACTAGGAAATTTAAAAAAAACCGAAGCAATTTAGAGCCTAAAGCAATCAATGATTTACTATTATTCGGAACTATTATTTGATAAAAGCTATGAGGAAATTTCTCAAAAATCTAGAGTTGAGGTATAAAATGTATACAAACTAGAGACTGGAATTAAATCTAAAAGTAGAGGAAAATAAACATGTAGGGAAGACCCAAGCCTGCATTAAAAAAGTATAAAAAGGTTTGATGCCTCACCTTAATTCCCTTAAAATGCGCTAGTAGAGAGGGTACTTCAAACCAAAACTCGTTAAGGTTTAGATGAAAAGAAAAGTGCTGCTTTTATTATCTGTATTTAACTAGTTGGATTGAAAGTAGCATTTTTTTTTTTTGCTAAAGCTGAAACTAGGTACATAGTTTTCTAATGTAATTTGTGACAATGTTTCACGGATAAAATTGGTAACTGCTCTTGGGTAAAAGCTGAAACTTATACAGGTGATTTTAGACCAGAAATGTGAAGTAAAAAGAGTAACAATTTATATATTTTGCATTTTCTAGTAGGTACCTAGTTAAAAAGAACTTCAAGCTGGTCGACATAGAAAGATTTGTGAATGAAACCAAAATTTTAGCAACTAAATGTTGCCATTTAAAAGTAACTTCTTTTTCCTTCGTGAAACCAAAGGTTCAATAGTCGTGAATGGGAAAATCGTGAAACATCAGGATGCACAAAATATCCAATAAAAGTATAAAAGTTCTTACCAAAGAACGCTGCCATCACTTGGGGAAATGTCCCCTTAAACATATCAAAAATTTTATACATTATTTCGTTTAGCAGCTACCTGTTCACGTCGAAACTTACAGAACTGAAATATAATGGTAGATTTAAATAATTTAAGTAAAGTACACGCGGTGTCATAAAAATTAACGAAATCGAGCTAATTTGTATAAACAAGGTGCTAATAACTAATAATGATAACGTTAATGCGTTTAACATCATTAGGTATCATATTATTACATTTTAAATAGAATATTTTACATATTTGATCTTCATAATGGCGAGCGAATAGTAACAGTCATCCGGAGAATGCTCCTCTAATTTATTAAAAAAAGTTGAGTTATATTGCGTTTAGTGACACAAATTGTGGCAAAACGTGTAGTTTAAAGTTCAAGCTATAGGTGCAAAGTGATAATTGGTAACTTGCTTCATAATTACGGTGTTTTTTCAAGTGTTTTCCTTCCATTATTGTGATATACGTGTCGGCGCCATAATGGGACTATCGTCAGCTGACTTGAGAGAAATTAAAACGACAATAATAAATACATTTAGTGAAAGATTTTTGCAGGAGATAGCTGATAAAGTGGCAGCGAAAGTTGAAAAACAATTCGAGGAACAACTCTCAGCCCAGAGAACTCTCACCAACTCCCTACGGGACAGGTTGGATGTTCTGGAGACAGAAAACATTGAGCTGAAAAAAATGATCGACACGCATGAACAAACATCTCGAAATTCCAATCTGCGTATTTTTGGTATTCCCTTGAAAAATGGTGAAGATATCCGTTCAGAAGTCATTAATTTATTCAACGAAAAACTAAAAATAAATATTGACACGCGCGATATCAAAAAATGCTATCGGATCGCCTCGAAGAAGCCCAGTGATAAGCCGCCAGCTGTTTTGGTACGGTTTTCTAGTGACTCGGCACGCTCTACGGTTATAAAATCTCGTAAAGTTGCGAACAACATTCGGATACAAATCAAGGAAGACCTAACTAAGTATCGCCTCTCCTTGTTTGAAAAGGCAATCAAGAAGTTTTCAAGTAAAAGTGCGTGGGTGTTAAATGGCACTATTTATGTTAAAGTCGGTGAAAGGGTTCACAGAATATCGACGGAAACTGAAATCAATGAACTGTAGAAAGTATTCTCGGACTAACTCCGGAGTGTAATTTGAAATAAACTGTGAGTCTCTTCTCTTATTATCTTGGCATATTTTGTTTATTTTCTATTAATATATTATTTTTTTTTTTTTCTTCGTTGTGGGGAATTGAAACAAATTTAATGGGTATCAAACAAGCAATTTGAAAATCAATTACAGGATATAATTTCAATGAGGCATCCTTCCATTTCACATGCTTGCGCATTTTCTAGATAAATAATAAATTGTCTACACTGCACTGAATTAGTTTTATATAAAATCAGTATTTAAATTTGCCTTCAATTGTTAGCAAAATGTTTGTTATTATAATTTTTAATTTTTTTTTTTTGTATATGGGTGCATTCAACTCCGATATTTATTTGACTGATTTGCATTTTGGGGGCCGTTTTTTTAACAAGGGTATTGTGTGGTTTAATCATTTAAACTTTAAATGAGAATAGGACATTTAAATGTAAGATCTATATTTACAAACTTCTACGAACTGAAAGGCATAATTTTACATGAGGATTTCGACATATTTTTTCTTTCTGAGACATGGCTCTCTGAGGGTGATAATGTATTGTTTTTTCAGATTCCTGGTTATCAGTTTTTTAGGAGAGATAGGATAGGGAGAGGAGGAGGAGTGGCGGTATATATTAAAACACAATATAGCATTGATATAATCAATTTTAACTTTAACATAAATGTGAACTTAGAATCACTATTTTTCAAAATGAAAATTTCAAACAAAAATTATGCTTTTGGGGTATTTTATAAGCCTCCTACAATAAATTTTAGTAGTATAATTCCTGATTTTGATAACATATTTTCCAGTCTCTACCCAAGCGTTGATGAGATTTTCTGTCTAGGGGATTTCAACATAAATTTGCTTAATCTGAGTAACCCACTTACTAACCTATTTGAAAATTATAATTTTTCTCAAATTATACAGGAGCCGACTAGAGTATCAAAAACCTCTGCTAGTTTACTTGATGCAATTTTTGTTACAAGTCTCTCTGCAGTGCTGAAAAGTGGAGTTATTCCAGCGGATATTATTTCTGATCACCGAATTGTTTATTGCAATTTAAATTTAACAAAAGTACCTAACATGCCAAAAATTATTAAATACAGGTGTTTTAGTAATTTTAATTATGCGAATTTTATTAGCGATATGCAACAGTTACCATGGAATGATATATTATACGAAAATAATATAGACAACAAAATCAATATTTTCAATACCCTGATTATAACTTTGTTTGATAAGCATGCTCCCTTGAGGGAAGCCCGTGTTACAAAGCCGAAGGCACCATGGTTAACACCTAATATCCAGATTTTTATGAAACAAAGAGACGATGCTTTGAGGAAGTTTAGGAGGTCCAGATTGGGTAGACATTGGGACCAATACAAAATATTAAGAAATTTAACTTTAGCAGCGATAAGAAGGGAGAAAAAGAAATGCTTAGACTCCTTGTGTCAAGAAAAAAATACCCGTGACTTGTGGAAAACGTTGAAAGGCTTTAATATATGTACCAGTAATCAACAAAATATACCAAATAATCTTTCTGATGTGAATCTTATTAATGATTTCTTTGCAACATTCTTTCAAAATGTTTCAAACTGTATAGATAGAACTGAATATTACAATAACAATACTTATAAACATAATCTCAAGTTTTCTTTCAGCTTAACCACAGTAAAAGAGGTACACACAATCTTAAATGGTATCAAGACTAATGCATTGGGAGTTGACCAAATAACTTCGCGCATGCTGAAGTATTGTAGTCCTTATATTGACATATACTTAACTCATATTATAAACTGTTCTATAGAAATAAACTATTTTCCTGACCAGTGGAAACTATCGATTGGAAGGCCTCTACCCAAAATATCCAACCCTTTAACTTTTAACGATTTAAGAATAATAAGCATCTTACCATCAATATCAAAAATCTTTGAAAAAATTCTCTATAATCAAATGTATGACTACGTCAATATTAATAGCATTATACCTCCAGTTCAATGCGGGTTTAGAAAAAGTTTCGGAACTTCTGTGGCCTTGGCTAATGTCACGGATGACATAATTCGAGCATGTGATAAAAAAATGGCTACGATTCTTGTCCTCCTGGATTTCAGCAAGGCATTCGACACGATCAATCATAAATTGCTTGTATCTAAACTAAAATATTACGGTTTCGATGTAAAATCGTGTCAAATTATTGAATCCTATTTATCTAATAGATTCCAGGCCATTTCTTATAATAATATGTACTCAGAAAATGCTGCGATTTTGTCGGGGGTACCTCAAGGATCGGTCTTAGGACCTTTACTCTTTTTAATCTACACGTCGGATATTCTTAAATCTTTAAATTATTGCAATGTTCAAGCATTCGCTGACGATACGCAGATGTATTGTAGTTTTGAATGCGAAGACATTAAGGAGGCTGAAGCCGGCATTAATAACGACCTAAAAATACTAAGTGAACTCTCTAAAGGCCATAATTTACAACTAAATCCTGCCAAGTCTTGTATGATGATCTTTGGCAGCCAGAACAGAGTTGATGAAGTTGAAACCAATATTAATATACACATTAGCAATACGCAACTGAGTATTGTTGAATGCGCAAAAAATTTGGGAGTAATACTCGACTCAAAGTTAAGATTTGAGGAACATGTTAAAAAATTAATACAAAAATCATATTTTTCTCTTAAGCTTTTATATAATAGCAGGCATATCTTAAACCAAAAATTGAGAAAAAATCTGTGTGAGACTATGGTGCTATCTAACTTTAATTATTGCGATTACCTGTACGGATTTTGTTTGAATTCTGAGAGTAAAATGCGTATTCAAAAAGTGCAAAACTCGTGTCTTCGTTTGGTGTACGATATTAGAAAGTATGACCATATTTCTCACCTTTATAAGCGTATCAACTGGTTAAAGATGGATGACCGTAGAAATTTGCATTTTTGCACATTTATTTTGAAACTTGTCAATGACCCCGCTTCTCCTCAGTCCCTAAAAGAACGTTTAATTTTTCGCCAGGATGTTCATGACATTAACATCAGGGCTAGAAAAAAATTAACAATGCCACTTCATCGGAGTGCTATGTTTCAGAGGTGCTTCACATACAATGCCGTTAATTATTTTAATAGAATTCCCACAGAATTATTAAATTTAAGTTCAGAAAACTTTAAAACTAAATTTAAGTCGCACCTTTTTAATAGGCAAAATAATACTTAATTAAATGCTTTTCCTGTTCGTTTTATTGTACTATTTATGTTGTGTAATAAGTTATATCAGCTTAAATTAGTATGTGCTCTTACTGTAATTAGTACATACTTCTTTTCAATTTTATTTGAACCATTTGCCCAAAATTTTGTTTCATGAACTTTTTTTTTTTTTTTCTTTCTATTACGGCTTTCGCCATCAATTTAGTACTCAACTATATGGATATCTCTTTCTGGTTCAGTAGAGTAGCTATCAGAAAGCTAGACTGCGCCAGTAGTAGACGTCTAGAATGAATTTATTAATTGTAATTTTGTAATTTGTATACATGCAACAATAAAAGTCATTTATTATTATATTATTATTATTATTATTTGTAGTTTTATGTCAGTAATAAAATAGTTTTGTTTCGTATTTGTAAACCTGTAAATGAATATAAAATTAAATGACATACGCATTTTTTTTTTCGTGATTTTATTGGTGACACATGCAGAGTCATATCTATTCCATTTGGCGAATTTGTGAATGCTAATAAGCTGTTTTTGGGCCTTTACGTTGCAAATGCCCAAGTGATTAGATTGAAATTGCTATATAGAGGAAGTTTAAACAAACAAAATGAATGAGATAATTGCTATGAAATTGAAATTATTCATTAATAATTATTTCGTCGAGCTTGAATAATGTACAATGGGATCATTGCAATTGGCACACACTATATAAATATCCCTCGTAATGTGTCAAATCTGACACACCAGTAACT